TTTGTAGTCTGCGGTAGTCCGAGGACTAATTTTTTGAACACCTCGGTAGGCCGAGGAGCTTCTTTGTAGACCTCGGTAGTCCAAGGACTAATTTTTTGAACATCTCGATAGGCCGAGGAGCTTCTTTGTAGACCTCGATAGTCCGAGGACTAATTTTGTGGACACCTCGGTAGGCCGAGGAGCTTCTTTGTGAACCCCGGTAGTCCGAGGACTAAATTTTTGAACACGTCGGTAGGCCGAGGAGCTTCTTTGTGGACCCCGGTAGTCCGAGGACTAAATTTTTTAACACCTCGGTAGGCCGAGGAGCTTCATTGTAGACCTCGGTAGTCCGAGGACTAATTTTTCGGACACCTCGGTAGGCTGAGGTACTTCTTTGTAGACCTCAGCAGTCCAAAGGCTAATTTTTTGAACACCTCAAGACATCTTAGGAGACACCTTGAGACCTTGGGCAATTTGAAAGATCTTTTGGAGACCTTGGAATTATTACCTTGAACTTTGGAGATAGTGTTAAACATGCTAAGACTTTAGACCTTGGATTTGTGGATAACACCTTGACATTGAGTACACCTTGGGGCCTTAGGATTGTCCAATCCACAACACTCTTCCAACATTTTTTTTTTTTTACATATATGCCCAAGTGAAGTGGGTAGGTTGGCTTTGCCTGCCAAGGTTCATGCCACGCCTTTTCCCCTTTTTTACCCCTTTTTTTGGTGTGTAAAGGTATGTATGTAGCTTACTAGCTTTTCTATGGACACACTCACAAGTTTACAGCATTAAGCATATGAGACTACTTCTACATGTAGTCCAAGAACTAACACTAAAAAATTAACATACTTTTTTATTTTTGTTCCATTCATCACCGAGGTTCGAACGATATCCCGATGACTCTTTTGTCACCTTGTCTCATTTTTCTTGTATTTCCATGCATTCGCTTACGTCCTTGGTTGCATTTTCAAGTTTGAAAATGTCCATGGACTTTAATGAGTCTCGCGATGATGAAATCTTGGTCCGACGACTCCACAGACGTGGCCACAAAATTAACGTGTTTATAAATGGGGTCGTGTCCAAACTTGTAGAAGATGACACCCGTAGCTTCTATTCCAAGCGTTACATCCCTGACACTTGGGATTTCTATATTCCGGAGCCCGAGGAAGGTAGTTTTGGCGAACTTCCTCCCGGATGAATTTGTCTTTAC